AAACTCCTAATGGGAAAAATCTATGTTTCCAAAACATGAGCTTGTTTTTTTTAGTGATTTAGTGATTGTGTTCAATGCCCACTGGTGAGAGCAGGCTTCAGAGCTGCCCAGAAATTTAGTGTAGAACAGGAAATAACCAGCCTGCTCCTAGTTGAGCCATATATGCCTCCTGCTGGCTAAACCATCTGACTTCTCATTTGGATTGACAAACCAAATTCACTTGAATTATATGTTGGTTATTCATCTGAAAGGAAAAAAAAAAAGGGGGGGGGGCAGGGGTGGAAATGACAAAGCTTTTTTTTTCTTTCATAAGCCATTTTTTTCCCCTTTTGAAGTCATATATATGACTACTCTAACTTTCAGGGAAAATTTCATTTTAAATGGAAATGTGACATTCACTTTCAGATTGAAAAGATAATTAATTCCAATTGAATTTGACTGGAGTTTATTTACTGGTTTTGTATTTCACTGAGAAGATATTACTTCAATTTGGTTTGATCCCCAAATGGTGCTTTTTTGTTTTTTCTTGCAGAGGTTATCTTTGAAATGAAAGATCAGTAGTTCTGAGCTCCAGTTTTACCAATATTTCATCTCTTTTTCTGTCTGTCTTTAGCCCAGGTTTGTCATAGGGTTTGCTAGCCTTGTGCAATTTTGCCTCTAATATTTGATCAAATCCCTATTTCAAGTCTGATCCAAACATAGCATCCCTGGATCCAATCCATTCCTATTCTACTTTCTTAAATTAAATTTTAAAAAACAAATCTTAGAGTTTGCTTCTCTGGAAAACTACTCCTAGGACCCATCATGATGCAACAGAAGTTTTGTTACAATTAAAAGAAAAGGTAAGACTTTGCTGCTATGGTTGTTAAAATAGTCAGAAACAAAGTGAGTCTCTAAATGGACCAGAGATGCCAAAGGGCCCAGACCCAGAAGAAAGCCACCTCTGCCTGCCCTGCAGTACTCCTCATTTAAAGTTGGTTCTGCAGTGTCCCCACAGCCGGTGACACGATCACATCTGGATTTGTGACTTGACAGGATGACATTTCAGCCAATGTTTTCTGATTTCTGCACTCCAGATACACATTGACTGCAATGCAAGTTACTGATGATTACATTAATGGACATGAAAAATTATGGATATGATTACATTAATGGACACCTCCAAAGAGTCTTCACTGTCTCCCTCTAAGACAATTTTCCTTTCCAAACCACACAGCACCGTAAAACAAAGTTCCTTTTCTGGGACCCATAAGCACCTGTAGGTCCTCTTTTAATTCTTTGTACAGACTGACCAACAAACTGATTGAATAACTAAGCAATACCACCAGACACTGAGAGGAAAAGACTTAACTATTTTCTCTTATTGAGCTACATGGTATGACATATAATATTTTATTCCTTTGGAATTCTTTCAGCACCTGAGAACAACCCCAGTGCACTCATTTCCCCATCATTTGTATGCTTAATGGAACCATACTGTACATGTTAATAGCAGATGAGTGTGCCTAGACCAATATACAGAGATCCACACACCAGAGATGGTCATTGCTTAAGACAAAGAGCCTGAGGACCACAGATATGATGGTCACTATCATATTTATAGAAATTACCTCCATTTTCTTGGCCTTCACATCTTGGCCTTACACATGAAACAAAACATACATCAGCAACCCCCTTACAGAGAACTCAGATTAAAATTACTGCAGGCAAGTCCCTTGCCACGGGTGTTAGTGAGGAGCAGAGAGCAGGAATCAAAACCCAGGGAGGGACATGTGACTAAGGATGGGCAAGAGAAATTGCCAAGCACAGCCTGAACTGCTCTGCTGTTCCATTAAATTACCTTATTTGGGAACTGCCAAATAAAAGCTAACGAGCTCAGATTGCTTCATACAGGATTGCAAGTGGGCAGGGCTAATTTAGTACTCAGCCTGAGGGAGGGAGGGCCATTCTATAGAGAGGAAGCCACCTGTTTTCATAGATTAGTGAAGGCTTAACAAGGCAGGAAACTTAAGCAATCAAAAACAGGAATGAAATTATTCATTTAAAGCTCTTGTTAAGCTGTGAAATATAAAATAACTTTGTGCTAACAAGGAAATCATAATTGCAGGATGTGTAGTAAAAATTTTATTTTCCTTAAAATTGTTTTATTCCTGGGCAGTTTAAGTCCAGATTTCAGAGATTCCTCCTTTTTTCCTTCTCATAATAAATGCAGTCATATACCTTTCTTCAAACAGCAAAACTTGCTGTTCTAAACAACATTATAAATGCTGTTATAAATAATTTTCAGCAGGCATCTGTGCAGAAGGAATCCAAGGGGGGGAAAGTGACAATTGCAGCCTTTAAGGGGATATTTGCTGCTATTTTGTATTTAGTTCAATTTTTTTTTTTTTAATTTCTTGGTTTAATTTGTCAAATTGAGCTGTATCAGACTAAGAAATGGAAATGAAAGAATATAACTGGCTTCACAGCACAGCATGAATTCCTCACAAGATGGACCTGCCCTAGGATAGAGTCTGGGCTAAACACTTGAGTAGGCTGCTGTTTTACAGACACCCATGTTTGGAGGATTAAACATTTTGGCGTAAATCCAACAGCACAACTTGTATCTTTTGGCACCTAAGGTACTCCTGAAATCTTGTTGTTACTCAGAGAGTGCCTATTATTTCCCTTGTTACAAAACACACAGTCATCATTCATTTGTGCTTAATCCCTCAAACAGCTGCTGCTCTATTCACTGTGGAGGAGATATTGATTAACCCTGCTCCAGCCTCTCCACACTTCAACAGATGTGACAATCATTGCCAGGGCTCTTGTTTTTCCTGCTGCTACATCTTAAAAGTCACTCTCAGGTCTTTAATTTGACATCATAAAAATGACCTCATGAGTTTCCTGTCTGTAAGTAACGATTCTTTGCAAAACAGCCTCAGTTTATGTGCTGTTTTGTTTTTTTTTTTCAATCATAGTGTTCCCAGCTTGTGCCCTGGAATGCACTGGGTGTTTTTTTCCTACAAACCCTTGTAGGAAGAAGAGATATGCAGGCCCAACATCTGTCTATTGTGGAAATGTCTGTGTCACTTTTTCTGCCCAGATATTCATGCAAGGGGGAAGCAAGTTCTTCATATGCATAACCAAGATTCACAGTCACCACATGCTTCGGAATGTAATACAATCTTAATTTACAGCGTCATTCTTCCCAGTCAGATAATTGTACTTAGAGGGAAATAGTGGTACAGGTCCATTTAGCTAATTGCTGCAAGTCAAACCAACGGTGTCCATCCATCCTGTTAGGTTCAGTAATGACATTTACATTGCTCTGCTTAAGAAATGGCACCATCAAAAGAGTTCTCCACCAAGAAAAACATCAGCACCTTGTGTCAGAATGAAAGGGTTGACCCAGAGGCAGTCTCCTACAGTGGGGAAAGTCTCCAGGATGCCCCATGGAAATGATCTAAAGCTTTGCTAGAAAGCAGTAACAACTGCCAGGCCAAAAAATGTGCTGTGAAATCTCTGTGAGATACTCCTTCCTGAACTATTCACATTTACTACGTGACTTTATTATTATATAATAATTTAATGGTTTTTAATCAACTTTAATTGGTTTTCTACCATATAACAATTTGTTTCAAAAATAGTTGATATTATGCAAAACAGCAGACTGTACTGAGAAAATAGTTTTTCAGCAAGAACCTTAGCGCAAACCTCAGCATCCTGCATACAGATTTTGGAGAAATAAAAAAGGTATTTCACAATTTGTCACACATCCACCCTTTGGTTTTTGCTGGGTCGTTGGAGTTTCTTCTTCTTTTCTTTGTCTTTCTCAACCAACTCTTGGAACAGTGACGTGGGTCAGTTTGCTAAATAGGTCAATTTGCTGGAGGACTCCAGAAACTTAAGTGCCATCTCTATATCCCAGGCAATGAGTCACAAAGTCAGAGCAAACAGCTGTAGCTTGATAAAGTCTGGGCCTGGAAATCAAGTGAATACGCAGAATATGCATAAACTTGAAAATACAAATAACCATTTTTTCATGAAAAATAAGAATTATACAGGGTATCTAAAGCAGGTCCAATTAAGAGACTCATAAGGGAAGAGAGAGAATTTTGGAGATGGAGGTGGGCTTTGGAAAAAGATGTATTGACTTGCCCAGTTAATACACAACAAGCAGCAAGAATCAGTATGGGCTGAGTGGAACAAAGAGTATATAAAAAGAAGCACAAATACAAGAGAAATTGTTTTGCTCAATCCAGAGAAGGTTTGTTTGTTTGTTTTTTTTCTCAAAGTCAAGCAAAGGCTCAGCCATGAGGAATCTCTATACACACTATGCAGAACTATGAACCATGATTTTTTATCACCCCAATTTGCTAACAAAAGGGACCATAGCTCAAGAGTTTGCACCCTCTGAGTGGACTGACCTGTGTTGCAATCTCCCATGCTAAAGTAAATCAAGACGTGAGGGAATCTGAGGCCCAACATAGAAAGTAGTCAACACAGAAAGATCAAAAAAGCCACAAAACCACAAAAGAATTCACAGTAAAAGACAACCCCAACCTTGTCTGTGGTTCCCAAGGTCAAGAAGTTTCACCTCATCTCTCCATCTGTCAATTCTTCCAGTCATTCTGGCAAATAATTTCTATGTAAAGAAACTAGGAAAGAGAGACAGAGCCGCCTCAAAGTTCTGATTCGTTCTTCCCTATTGACTGGTCATTAAATGCAGAAATGTCAAAGTATGAATAGAAGTATGGCTGGAAATCTGTGTCTCTCTTTTGAAACTAGCCAAGTACCATAGCTTCCCAAATTAGACACCCAGGAAATATGGGAATCTGGATCATCAACTGAGAAAAGGTAGGAGGGGTAAAAAAATGCTCAAAGGCCCAGGAAAAATGATATTACCAGCATGCACTGTTTTCTAGAGATACACAAAAGAGGAGGTTAATTACAGTTCCTCTCCCATTGCTGGATTTAAAAACAGAGAGAGAAGGAAAAAAAACCAACAAGGTAAATGTTTTCATCTGGATGGTCTTTGTTGCAATTTTTTTAATCTTTCAAAACATTACATCATAAAATAAAGACAATAGCAGCAAAACTTATCAAGTTGGTACAAGCACATTCTGCTCTGAACTCTGGTAATGACACTTCTGAAATTTTCATTTTTCTGAGAATGCCTTTCTAAAGCACCATTGAATCTTACAGAAAGAGTGAAAGAGGGACAGAGACAAGAAAGCAGATAGAATACCCTTGCAAGTGGTTTTACTGATTGTTTATAGTATAATTTGAGGTTGATCAGGAAAAAATTTTAGAACATTAAAAAATGTTTCCCCAAGTTTTAAGAAACTTCTTTTTTAAACACAAAGCTGAAAAAGACTAATAGTAGTTCCTCAGTACTGTCCAAGATCTAGATCAAATTCTATTAAAACTTGGGAAAAAATCACTCTAAAACTACATTGATACACTGCTCTGAATAAATTTAAATTGTTGGGAAGATATGATCTAGACACAAACTCTGCTTTTTTTTCTAATTAAAGCTACTATATGAATCCAGGATCTGAGAAACTGCTAAGTGATAGGCTGAAAGCTGGTATGTTCAGCTTACATGTCACAACAGGCACTATAAACTTTCCTCTTGAGAGCATCCAGCTCTCACAATAAAAAGGAATTTGGGGATAGAATGTATTTGGGAGATGAAAGTATCCTCACATGTCAAGTATCACCTGCCTTTGCTTTGCTGTGAAGATCAGCGAGGGAAAGCAGATCCTCTTTGCCTCAAAAGGCTAAATGCTATAGAAATGTCCCCTTTCCCCCAAAAGCAGCAGCCAGCCCTGTCATTTCCTGGTGATAAGACTTAGCTCAGATAGGACCTGTAACCAGTGAGGAGGGACAAAGAAGTTTGCATCTACCTGCATGGAGCAAGGAGACATCACCAGAAATTCTGTGCACAAGAGCTAGTTATGTGTGCCACATGAGGGGTGTTAGCATGGGGCCATTCTTCATCTGGTTCCTAAGAACTCACCAGTGTGGTGGATAATAAGGCTTGCCTTTAGGGTGACCTTCCCATCCCAGCATGATCTAGCTCACAGATTATGCATCAGGACAGCTCCAAATTAGCTTTTGCAACAGCTTCCTCCATGATTTCAACAGCACAAGTCAACAGAGACTAACAATGTTATGAACTGCAGTTGCAGTGGATGGAGTTAAAAATACAATCCAGTTTAGCAATGGTATTAAGAAGAGTAACTGTTACTGATAGTAAAGGAGATGGGGACCTTGGGAAAATTTCAGCAACCCAAATGAATTTTCAGATGTACATTTTTTGGTGATACATTTCACCCAACCAGTTTCATACATTAATCTACAAGCCTTTATTTGAGTTCTGCAGATTTATGTTGATTTGCCTGGTGTTTCATTGATAATTAAATGCCTAGGGAACTGTTTCTGAAGCTGAGCTTATTTGTGTTAAGTATTGATACAATGCCATTCTCGTAAGTATAAATTGCACTGTAGAGATGAGTTATAACAGCAAGCATTTGCCATAAAAATCTTAAAAATAACAAGGCAGCTTCACTTCACCGCAGAGACTTGCAGGAGCAGATTTTGGCCTAGATTAGACAAAATGTAGCTCAGAACCAGTAAATGTACAGGGAGGTCTGAAAAAGTTCTCAGTCACCTTTCAAATTCATATCTGTTTAGTAGGAGACTTCCTGCTCTAGGTTAGTACACAACATAACATGATGCTTGGTCTTTACCTGTAATTTATTTCTAGTGGACGATGGGAAAAGTGAGAGTAGCAGACATCATGCAACCTTGACAACACAAATAAACCCCTGAGAAAACCAAAGCTGGCAAACAAACAGCCCATGTACAGCATAAATACAAATACTTCAATGAAGGGCTTTTAAGGACAAGGTTTTAATAACCTGAACTCAGACATAATTTCATTTATTATGGGTTAGAGATTTTTGCATAACATCTCTGGCATAGTCCTTTAATGGCTTTGGAGGAAGCAGACTGGTGCTAGTGACATCCTAAAGCCAGGCAGCAGAAGATCAGGTGATTTATAATTTCATGGCCACAATCCAAATAAGGTTCTATGAAAATAGAGCACAGGGGGAGAGAAGAGGGATTATTGTATTTTATTTACTATTACTTTTAGGATTTATTAGAAATAATGTTCCCTATTAAGTGGTAATAAAATTACAAATCTTCTGAAAACCAGTATATGCACAAGCTCAGTGATGCTTATGATGGTTAATGGTTCAGAAGGATCCCCAAAGTGGCATAGCAGAATTCTCCTGCACAAGACAATGGAAAGTGGGACTGCAGAGCTGAAAGCTGTAGGGATACAGCAGCTGAGTCATCCTCTGTGTGAGAGGGCTGCATCTACATAAAATCCATATTTCTTTATTTTTTCTGGGCCCAATTCCCATGTCAAGTCATGTTATGCTCAGGGCAGGATCAGAGAGTTAAAGTCCATAACCCACCCATTTGTTCAATTTCTTATTTTCAGGCTGCTGGGAAAGGGCCTAATGTAGAGAAGGACGTTTTAGATATGGTTTAGACTACTTTTGCTAAAACCTTTCTATAATGAAATAGCCTCACTAGAAATAACTTGACAAGTTTTTTATAGGTGTTTCTAAATGCCAGAAGATGAGAATTTTAGCCATAAAAACACTTGATGTTTGAATTGAGATTCTCTCTCAGGCTGTTGCAGACAATTAAAACCAAGGGATGCCATTTAAAAAGGGAAAAGCAATTTAGCTCATTAAAATGTCAATTTAGGTGTCAAGATGTTTCTGTCTGGCTCCCTATGAAATACACCATTTGCACTTCCCATACTATAATAAAAATTATGTATATTGAGGTATTTAATAGGCAATCATCTAGCAGAAAATATTTGCTCCTGTCATAGCCTGGCAACTTTCTCAGCAAGTTTTGCAGACACAAGAAATGGAGAGGAATGAAAGAGAGCATTTTGCTTTCATATAAAAGGTCATCAAATGCTCTGCTCAGTATCTCACTGAGAGTTTATTGAGCATCATCTTTTGTCCCTGAACTATTATATCCCAAAGCACGGGATGCTGAAGAAACAGCTGACAAAATGACAGCCAGGGGCTCCTGCATGGCATGGCCAAACAGAAACTAGAATGACACACACATGCCATCACCTAGAATCTGGACAGGGGACAGACTGATAACTCAGAAAGTTACAATTAAAAGTATGCCAAGATGTCATTGTCCTGTTGCATCAGATCAAACAGTTCTGAGTTTGCCCAACAAATTTTGCCTCCTCACTTTTCCATGTTGACTTGTTTTCTGTGATTTGCCTGTTGTCCAACTTCCTGCTCACACAGACAATTCCTACAAGACAGACATTACTTTCCCTGACCCTAATCAGAAGAAATGTCCTGGCAATGGCTAAAGTTTATATTTCATATATAGAAAATGCATCTCCTATATCCTTGCAGATGTCTGTGTGACTATGCAGAACCTTTTTATTGCAGGCAAGCGTTTCTTGTGAGAAGAACTCATCTGAAGAACAGATAACACTGTATGCATTATGTTGATCTTGACATCTGGTTACCAAAGAGAAGTATTTGCAAAAGTGAATGTATTGCATGCTTTCAGAGTCAGATGAGATGATTTTGGGTGCCAGATCCTTCACAGATGCAAAGCGCAGGATGATGTAACAAGGAATTACTGCAATTCTCAGACCCAAATTGTACATCTCAGCACTTCTGAACCTTTGCTGGAATTCAAACGCAAATCTAAACTGTAGCTTTCACTCCTAACCTCCTACCAAAAAAACACCAGATTTGAACAGCCTTAGTACATCCAGACATGCTTCATCCATCCTGACACTACAGAATTAGTGATGCTCATGCATGAGACTTCAGAACATTTGCTCATATCTGGAATTCAAAGCCTGCCCAAAACCAGCAGTAACAGGTAGGCTAAAGAGCTCCAGAGCTTGAGGAGATCTGCACCTTGCTGGTGTTTGCCTGGGGCTTGAGGAGCCTGGGATCCCAGGATGGTGACAAACAAGCGTGCTTGTGAAGCCAGGCAGAGGACTGTCTGGCACAGAACTTTCCAGAAGCCACGGCAGCTCCTGAGTTAAGTGGAACCTTCTCCAGGGTCTGCGCTTACTGCCCTGTCTCTGGTAAGGTGAAGCCAGAGTGCAGCCCTGCACCTTAGAAGATTCACTGGTGAAGTAAGCAGAATTCATTTTCTCTTGGATCTTATTAAGTCAGAGCAATTCCAAATTACCTGAAATTTTTCAAATGTTGCTTTTTTTCTTTGATTTTCAGACAGATAATGAAATTAGAAATATGATAGGACATTTCAAGAGAAGTGGACTGACAGATCAAGCTAAAAACTTCTTTCTTCCTCTGCACTAGTGGAATTTGGCTCACTCCCGCAAATTCAGCAGAGTAATTATATATATATATATATATATATATATATATATATATATATATANGTCTCTGGTAAGGTGAAGCCAGAGTGCAGCCCTGCACCTTAGAAGATTCACTGGTGAAGTAAGCAGAATTCATTTTCTCTTGGATCTTATTAAGTTAGAGCAATTCCAAATTACCTGAAATTTTTCAAATGTTGCTTTTTTTCCTTGATTTTCAGACAGATAATGAAATTAGAAATATGATAGGACATTTCAAGAGAAGTGGACTGACAGATCAAGCTAAAAACTTTTTTCTTCCTCTGCACTAGTGGAATTTGGTTCACTCCCGCAAATTCAGCAGAGTAATTTTATATATATATATATATATATATATGTATACTCAAATATACATACTGAAAATTTGCATACACAGTGCCATGCTTCCATTCATAGCCATGGCAATCTTGAATTCTGGTGGCCAGTTTGATTTTGAGTTGTCGTAGTGTGCATAAATTCTCAGAAAGTATCACATACATGCACTTTTGTGTACATAGACAACAGCATGCAATTCCAAAAGTCTGTGTCTGCATGACCTTTGGATGTCTGCATGTTTGACCAGCTTGCAAGAGTCTCTGCAATCAATATCCATGCTTATCTTGCCTATAAGCCTACAGTTTGAGTTGCAATAATATTTAGCATTGCTGGTACAATCATGTGTATCTCATTTCCAGCATGCAAAATCTTCTATATGCAATGGCCCACCCAGTAGCCCACAGGTCAACACTATAAAAAATTTAGTATGTTTTGCAATTCCCATTAATTATTTTGCAGCATTTTCTTTGAAAACACAATTCTATTTTTCATATCCATATGCCCTGACAGCACAAAGGATTTTTAAAAATGCCCACAGTTTAGTTACATTTCACTTTAGTCTAGAAATGCAGAGAGCTCATGTTTAGTTTTTATCAATAAAAGGGACAGGAAATTTCCAACAAAGATTGTACTTGAAAGGAAATGAACAAAATAATTTAAAATATTTTTTAAAAAGTTACAAAATATGACAGCATTAATGGCACTTAAAGCTATAAGCACTTAAAAGATTACCACAATATTTTTTTCCTAAATTTCTTTTTTTTTTTTTCTTTTTTTTTTTTTTTTTTTTTTTTTTTTTTTTTTTTTTTTTTTTTTTTTTTTTTTTTTCTGAGACTATGACAGCAACTTATGTCTAAGCTAAACCCAGTAAAAGGGAGCAGAGAGCCCTGAGATTCTATGGTAGCCCTGGCCCTCATTTGAATCACATATATGCTTTTATGTCTATTTATAAAAATTCAGATTCAGCTAGAGAACAGCAGTTTGCTGACATGCAAAAGCTACAGCTTCCCTTCTGTCCGTATAGTCTTACAGTGTTAAAATAAAAGGGGCTTCTTTAGTGGTGGAAAGTGTGAATGAGAAATTCTTTAAAAATAAAAGTTGGCCCACTGTTTTATACTTTCAGCCAAATATCATAAAATTGATGTTTCTCTTCTTTTAAACAACATAACATGAGATGTTGTATTTTCTTCATATGCACCTTCTTGCTGTGACTTTACACTGAATTTTCCTACATGAGGAAAAAAATCCATCTGTTTATTTTCTTTTTTTTGTTGTTTTTTTTTTAATTGCTTAAGATAAATACCCACAGAATGTTTTTGTTTTGTTTTTTTCTTTTTCTTTTTTTTTTAATGAAAAGAGCAATCCAACCCTTACTTTTGTCAATGTTGATTTTCCAACCAGCACCCAGCTGCTAGCTGTGTCCATGGACATTCTTTTGGCATTTAGAAAGGTAATGCATCTGACTCCAGTATAGGGAAAAAAGAAAATCTAGCTTGGATCACGTGCCAAAATGTAAACTAAGCATTACTGAAAGTTTCTAGTTCACTCCAATCATTTCTCCTCTTTTTAATCACCAGGGGAAGGCTTTATGGATGCATACTCCATTACAAAGATACACTGTGTTTCATCCCTTTCATAGGCCCTGCTTGCATAGCTGCCCTTTGTCTAATACCACGTCATGGTAGGAGCCCTCTGGTGATACTGCCATGGTCCAATCCCTTCCTTTGTGTCTTGCCCTGGTAATCTTATACAGGCTGAAGTTTCCATTTGCGTAGCTTTCTGTTGCCATTCTGCAGTGCTGCATTCCTGATTTGTTTTGGCAGAGCAAGCTTGAGTCTTTATGGCACAGTGAAATATTCTTGGATGCTATATAATTCAGACTGAATAAGGAGTCTGTATAAGGCACGTGTCTCAATATATATGTATATAAAACAACCAACATTACTAATTCAAGTCCATCTTTTACATTAACTTCTGTCTTAAAGTAACACTTTGTTTTTATGCTTCCTTTCTTTGGCTTCATTGGGAAACACTCCATTTTCCAGGTCTGAGTGCTGCTGGATACAGTTGGTCAGAACTGCAGTGCTAGAAGTGTTCTTGGAATTACACATCTTCTCTGTCTCCTCTTCCTTTTTTTCTTCATCCAAGGAATAGTTTCTGAAGTTCTCATAAATTTTATGCATATCCTCAGGCATGGTCTTTTTGAGGTCTTTATTTTTCCTTTTGGTCATCTTAGCGGACGATCCAAATTTGTTAATGATGTTGTCCTCAGAGGCCCCCTGCCCGTGCTTGTTGAGCTTATCTGACCCTTTAAGGCGCAGGTTGTTAGGCCTGTTGTTGATGCTGTCCTGAGAGGAGGCTTTGAAGCGTCCTGTTTCCAAGGTAGCAAAGACGGAGCGCTTCTCCGGAGAGAGCATGTCCAAGGAGTGGGCTCGCTGCTCCAGGCCCAGGTGCCTGCGCTCCATGCTCCGGATGGTGGCTGCCCGTTGAAGCTTGTCATGGATCTCCACGCTGAGCCGCCTCCGTGTCTCTCTGAACTCAGCCGTCACATTTGCTTTCCACTCTGCTGCATGGGCTTTTATTTCTCCAACCTTCACAACATGAAGAAAGAGAAATTAATAAAAAAAAGAAAAAAGAAAAAAGAAAAATCTTTCCTGTAGAACAGTAACACAGACACTTTCTTCTGTGGCATGAAACAAGGGAGTGGTCCCATCTCCACTGCGTTCATCTGGATCCAAACTTCAGTAGTAAAGGGCTTATACTAGGAAAACTCTAAACATACCAGCTGATGGCTTTTGTGACATAGAACTCATCTGCCTGTGCCACTTTGCCACACCACACATTTTATAGCTGTGTTACATGGTAGGACAAGTTCATGCTAATCCATCCTTGATTAAGAACAAAATTCCTGACTCATAACGTCAGCAGTAGATGGTCAAGAATGGGCACAGGTAATCACATATAGTTAAACCACTACACTTCAGAACAGCACAACAACCAGTGCAGCAGTACAGGAATGAGTTTTCCTGTACTGTTCATGGATGCAGATGTTTAGTCCCACTGAAGGTTCTGTTCAGAGCCACAGAGTCACAGGCAGTTAATCTGATGAAGCCTACCAGGAGACCCAGGCAGAGGTCTGCACATTTCCTGGACTCCAGCCTTGGTTAGAAAGTTAGACACCTATACCTCTGGACAACTCAGTAATTACCCATTAGCTAATTTCAAGTGGCCCTCTGACTCCTCCAGTCTAGGGTTCATTTTCAGGATAAATGTAACTGTCTTTATTGGAGGTTTCCATTGCACATTTGTCCAAATACCACACTGTCAAGCCATCTGGAGGAATTTTCAACACATATTCTGTATGGGCACTATAAGCATATCCTTGAATGTCCGACTGTCTTTCTCTGTTTTACTCCTTTGCACTGGAGGCTGGAATAATGCTAAGAATAAAATACTAAGTGATGGCTGTATTCAATAAAAATGCCTTCCAAAATGACAAAAATCAAGACAAATGACCAAGCAATACTTCAGTTAAAACAGGCCTTTCTCAAAGTTCAGCTAAACAGATTCAGGAGTATAGTGTCTGCAGGGGCCCAACATGGTCAATGGATTGCTTGCACTGCTGCAGCCTAAACTCAAGTTTTTGCATCCAATAACCCACAAGGAGTCATCTTTTTTTCTGCAGGCCAGATGTACAAGTGTCCATTTAGCACTGTAGCAGAAGGCATCTTGCATCTCTGTGGAGACCAGATTCCTCACTGTAGGTTCCTGATCAACAAAACAGCCACACTCTCTGCAGTACCCTTTATTAATGGAGATGCACCAGGCCTTGGGTGATGCAGATGCCTTCAAAAATTAGAAACAGCACTACCCCCTGCCAAATTTTGCCTGCCATTTGGTTAACCCTGCCAGGTAAACTTTGCTAGTAAAGCAGGGTTGCCTTAAAATTTGAAATTATATTACTAACATCCTCCACCACAGGCTTCAGCTCTAGAGGCATGGCAATTACCTTTCTATTTTCCACACTTACTTGAGTGTGGAAAATATCCCCACTCAAATAAGTATGAAAAACAGAAGGAGCAAAATAGAAAAATAAGAAATAGAGCAGTATCCTTTTTGAATCAGGGAGGGCATATTCTCAGTGAATTTAGTCATGCTGTCCTTAATGCTGACTACTCAGTTTCTTCAACTTTTAAAAGCAGAGTACACAGTAAGGGATCTGAAACTAAACTTCTATTAAGAACCATATTGTCTGGCATAGGAAAAGACAGGAAAATCTCCTAATTTTTAAAGAGAAGACACTGACATTTTTAGTACAATTTCATAGCTAGATTTAGAGTAGAGGCTGACATCTCATTCCATAATTACAATCCTACTGATGTGTTCTGTGTATTTTTGAGTAATGATAGAGGTGTAACAACCTTGATTGCTTCTGTTGCTTTTTCTCCTCATTTGTGAAGGAGCTAAAGATCAGAGCTAACTGTATACCAAAGGCAGACAGTGAAGTAAACCACAGGGCATATTGAGCAATGGTCATGCAGAGCAGCATCCTTATTTAGACAAGCAGGAATCAGGCACTTAAATCTCTCTCGTAAAATGACAAACCACTGATAAATTACTGATCATACCTCTTCTTGTGTCTTCTTGGACAGGACTCTTAACCAGTCTCCAATCATACTCAGAACAGCAGCAAAGTAGGCAAGGCCAACAAGGATCCAGAACCACACTAACGGTTTATACCACTCCATGTATTTGATGTCAGTATTTCCTCCTGAAATAAGCATATAATTGTGCTTACAAATCATGAGGCACCAAAATCATTACAAAATATCTGTAATTCTGAAAAATACCTAAAAGTAACTCTTGCCTAACTCTTGTCAACAGCACTGTAGTTCTGATAATAAGACAAAAAGCCTGTCAGATGAGAGGAACCCAGTCTGTTTTAATTTGTCTTTAAAATTACCTATTGTTCTACTATGTGACCTGCCAGAGTGCCCAGTAAATATTTTCCTTTGTACTGCTCATATGCTGAAGCAGCTCTGAAATTCTACTTTGATAGTATTTGCAACAGCACAAACACCTGTCCAAGAAAAAAGTTTAATACAGACAGTCTTCCTTATTCTGAACTGCCTGCAGCCTCCTAGTTAAGAAAATTTACAGATCAACCCCTTTAAGTTATAGAGTTTCAAGACTTTTTTGGATTTAGCTCCAGGACTGAAAAATCTGTGTGCAGGAAAAAGAAATGTAGCTTTGACTTCCACATCAGGGTATCTGACAGGAAGCCAACCATTCATTAGCCCTGAAAATAAGGCTGTATAATCTTGGGTATCATTCAGAGGGATGCATTCTCTAGCCAGTGACTTCATAGGAGATAAGAATCAAGCCAAGCAACAAATATACTATATTGTTCTCCATCTAAGTCTATGGATGAGCTGGCAAAAGATGAAGTGAGACATTTGGCCAACTTAATGGACTATGAAGACCCCTGAATAAGTGTGGTAGCGGCCAGGTTGCTGCCTACTACAAAGTAAAATATAGAAATTTTTACAAAATAAAGCAACCACAGTTTCAAGACTCTCAGTCCTATCACAGTGCTATGTACACTGCAACAATGAGCCAATGAGAGGCAGGCACAGCTCTGAGTGGAAGAGATTGAGCAGGAAAGTCTGCAGAGCCCCATGGGCACTGCCATATCCCTCAGTGAAGTGAACATCACCTTGGTGGTACCTCTGCAAATCCCTGCCCTA